TAGTATGGTACAGTAAGGGAAGGCTTATCTAAGAATTGAGTGACTTGGTTGAAGAGGTCTGGCCGAGTACATGCGAGGACTTAGCCAAGGTCAGAGGGTACTGGCACAACCATTGGATAACTAGAGGCCATCATAGTTTCATCCTGCATCATCATGACCTACGGTTAGTTCTTAGGATTCCTGTGGAGCCTCTCACAGCGAGACCCACCGACTCCGCACTGATGCCACTCTGTCCTGAACTTTTTCTGTAGAGGGCGCAGCAAGACCCTGCCAGCAGGACGAGCAGTAGGTTAGTTATCCCAACTAGTGTCCATACCAGATTCCACGAGCAAGAACCTGCTTGTTGAATTTCCGAAGTCTCTGTGGGTGCGACAGCTTGAGAGGGATTCATGACAGTGGTTAATTGTAATGATATCCTTATTTTATCTATTGTGGGAGAAAATTTAATGAATTTTTACTATAGATATTGGTGGGGTGAAATATGTGCCATTTTAAAATAAAAGAAATTCTGATAAATTGAGAGGTGTCACAATAATATTTTTAATTATTTAACCTTTACCTCTATAGCTGTCACTGCAAGATATGCACAAACTTTCAATGACAGTCTGATTTTTACAGCTTTTTCTGATAAGTGAATTGGAATCGGCTGGGTCATTTAATATTTATTATATAGCCATTATGGGGTGTGGTAGCCGAGTGGCTAAAGCTCTCTCCTCCTGTCCTTAAGGTCGCTGATACGACCCTGGGGCACTCCCAATCCACCCAGTTGTAAATAGCACCTAATTTTACAGTTGAGGAACTGATGGTGATCGGTCATGATGCCTCCTTTCTTACCAAAGGCTTAGTTTACAATGTGCTGAATCCACACAGCTCCTATCAGGTTTCCACTTCCACATATTATGACTGACCAATTCCTATTCGAATATTAATTACCTAAGTAAGTTTAAACATCTGTTGAACATCAACAATACTTGCTATGTGATTGTTTTCTGATGTCATTAAGTCATTTTACAACATAATTACTGCTTTAATTTATGCGAAATTTGCCAGACAACTGTTAACTAGATATCCGGCCTGTCATAAAAGATTATAATGGATGTACGGTAAAAGGTGTATAATCCTACTTGTGCCAATGACATGATAAGACAAATATACCCCAAGACACTAAGCTGTAAAGTCACTGTAGATTACCTCAAACTTGAAGTCTCTCCCCCCCCCATAAAAATATATATATACTGTATATATATATATATATATATATATATATATATATATATATATATATATATATATATATATATATATATATATATATATATATATATATATATATATATATGATGACTTAACACAGGTGATGAATTAAGCAGATGGTGACTAATCAAACCAGAATCAAGGTCACTTCTCTTCATAATATATTTCATCTCGGAATGATCATCGGTGATTCATAATATGTTTTTTATGATTTTAACCTCTCCTTATGGCGAATATTTCTTTAACTAATTATTCTAACCTTTATTCTATTCCTTCTTATAGTATATTAGATACTGTAAGTATCACGACCACGACCATGATTATAACAACCACGACCATGATTATAACAACCACGACCATGATTATAACAGCCACGACAATAATTATAACAACCACGACCATGATTATACAAAACCACGACCATGATTATAACAACCACGACTATGATTATAACAAGCACGACCATGAATATAACAACCACGACCATGATTATAACAACCACGACTATGATTATAACAAACACGACCATGATTATAACAACCACGACCATGATTATAACAACCACGACCATGATTATAACAACCACGACCATGATTATAATAACCACGAACATGATTATGACAACCACGACCATGATTATAACAACCACGACCATGATTATAACAGCCACGACCATGATTATAACAGCCAAGACCATGATTATAACAACCGACCATGATTATAACAAACACGACCATGATTATAACATCCACAACCATGATTACCAACAACACGACCATGATTTATAACATCCACAACCATGATTATAACAACCACGACCGCCAGTTATTACAACCACGACTATAATTATAACAACCACGACCATGATTACTAACAACCACGATTATGATTATATAGCGAAACCATGATAATAACAACCACGACCATGATAATAACAACCACGACCATGATTATAACAACCACGGCTATGATTATAACAACCACGACTATGATTATAACATCCACGACCATGATTATAACAACCACGGCTATGATTAAAAACAACCACGACCATGATTATAACACCCACGACCATGCATTATAACAACCACGATTATGATTATAACATCCACGACCATGATTATAACAACCACGGCTATGATTAAAACAACCACGACCATGATTATAATAACCATGACCATGATTATAAACAACCACGACCATGATTATAACAACCACGACCATGATTATAACAACCACGACCATGATTATAACAACCACGACCATGATTATAACAACCACGACCATGATTATAAATAACCACAACTATGATTATAACAACCACGACCATGATTATAACAAACCACGACCATGATTATAAATTAACCACAACTATGATTATAACAACCACGACCATGATTATAACAACCACGACCATGATTATAACAACCACGACCATGATTATAACAACCACAACTATGATTATAACAACCATGACCATGATTATAACAACCACGACCATGATTATAACAACCACAACTATGATTATAACAACCACGACCATGATTATAACAACCACAACTATGATTATAACAACCATAACCATGATTATAACAACCACAACAATGATTATAACAACCATGACCATGATTATAACAACCTCGGTAAACTGTACAACCGGACTCGCCACCGGGCACGAAGGGCCCACGATCACTTATAAACAACTAATGACCATCACGTTCATGAATATAATCAAACATAGAACAGTTTATCATTACAGAGATTCCGTGAACCAAGTCTTGCACTCGGGGCCACAAGCCATGCGTCCATGTGGAATTTACTCGATATAACAGTTAAATGTTTCTACGACACAATAATAAAATATAACAATTAGTACGCATGACTGAAACTACTATATAACACTGGAGTAAGAGCAAATGATGCTCAAGAACATCCTAGAAATACTAATTGCTCACCAGTTGTCTGCTAACATCTTCCTCCAGTTGTAGGTGAGACGAGAGTAGCAAGAAGCCAATAGAAAATATAATAAACGGCTACAGGACAAATTAAATCATTTTCAACTTTGTAGCGAGTTATATGATATAGTAATTACAAAATACACAAATGAAGATATCAATTGTCTTATTCTGCAATATTTCAATTAATGTGCGGTAGATAAATACCTGTCATACACACATACTCAACAGGATTAGTCTGGGGTGCATCATGGTTCATGGCCACTGATGTTCTAACAATGGCATGAGTGAGTATTTTTCGCCAAGCGTGAGCCAATCGCAGTGACCTGTGAGTATGAATGCCTTAGGCCTGAACCAATAAGAGAACCTGTGTGATGTGACATCATAAAGAGGTGGCGCCCCTTTTTTTTTTTTTTTTTTTTTATTGGGCACCCCCCTACATTCTTGTGTAAGGTGAAGCGCAGAAGCGTTTACAGCGCCCAACAGGGAAGCATGCTAAGTTCATGCTTGCCTTTATGTCTCACGAGTTAAGGGCGTAGAAGCCTGAAGAGTCAAGGGCGTAGAAGCCTGAAGAGTCAGTGGTTTATGTCATGAAGTTATTGGAAGCTCCAACAACTTTCCCTGAATACGAATTCGCAATTTTCGATTTACACCAGGTACCTACTTTACTGCTAGGTGAACAGGGACTATTGGGGGCTAGGAAGTAAGTCCAAACAACTTCCACCGACCCGGGAATCGAACCCGTGACATCTCGCTTGCGAGGCAAGAACGGTACCGCATCTACCACCGATCCCCCAAAGGCGCCCCTTGTGGGTGACAGTTTGAAAAAGACAGTCTGGTTTTAGAGAGAGTGCAGAGTGGGCATCTGTGTGTCATCTTACCCCATGGCAGGATATATATGTGTGAGTACTGTTATCGCCGCCCTCATACCCCGAGACCTCTAACTCCCATGTGGCCGTGCCTCGCCAGATGTTTGTGGACGCATAGCAAGCATTTCATTGTTATGATCATAGATAAGGGCTCGGGACGCCTCTGACTGACAGTATTGTCCAGCCCCTTCGAGTGTACACACACTAGCTATAACTAGGAGTTACTTGGAGCGATACTAGGAGTTAAGTGGAGCTATAATCCCGTACACGTTAGTGAAAGAACAGAGATTGTTTGTATTATGGTGAAAAGTTGTGAACTACATACGTGCATAGTGTAAGGCAATTTGGATAACCATACAGAATAGTGTATTTACCAACTGATGTACATGTAATGAAATGTAATCAATAGTTAACAAGTATCTCACTTTTCCAGGTTTTGACCATATCAATCGATAAACGTTGAACGAGTCCACGTTGCCGCTTTCTCTCACCCTTAATATGTGACGTCATGTGTCTGTTGAACCATTCGGCAGTTAAAAGTACCTTTAAGGTTTTATCCATTTCACGAAATGAATTGAGTCATGTGACTCATGTGACCCCTGGTTAGCTAGCAAGGAAGATAGGTTATTGTTTTGAAGTATAATTGTCAAACCTTAATAGAAGGTATTCAATAAATACAGTAACTGTTAATAAGAGTCATTAAAGAAAGAGTAAAAGAAAGAGTAAAAGTAAGGAATTAAGAAATAAAGAAATAGAAAGAAGAAATAAAAAAAGAAGAAAAAGGGAAAATAAAACCAGTATTATTGTTACAATGTAAAAGGTTTGACAGCAGTTCGGATTTGTATCGTTCAAACTTTGTGTCATCACAGAGAAAATCATATGTAGCCATAAAGATCCTCGACCCGTGTATAATGTGTCTTACCTTGGTGGCTGGGAGTGGCAGGCCTGCAGAGCGTGGAGAGTGAAGCATAAGCGAGTTCCTCCACACCAAGAGTGGAGGAAATCAGCCTGCCGCCCAGTGTATCACTGGCCCTTCCCTCACCGTTCACCTCCAGCCACACCTCCACCTGTAGGACCCACAATAACAAACTCAAATACTTGTAAACATAATTATTGTTTATTTTAATCTTGAACCTGCAAAATTCTTTCCTTAAGGTTTAATGTACTTCGTCCCGTTGTAATGATAAAATATAAGAATTTTTTTAACATCATTCGGTACAATACATTGTTTAGAGCTAGACTACTAGAATACGATGTTTATCCTATGAGAATGACATGATTTTTGTCCTCATAAATCAACAAGGAGTTATCAATTTCATAATATTATATCCTCAGCAGTTTTGAGTTATTAAAGATCAGTTTATTTACCTCGTCATGTCGAGCTTCCACATTAACATCTACCCTGTTCCACTCTTGAGGCCTCAGCAGCCCACGTCGCACCTCCAGCAGTAGCGTGTCCTTAGCCATCTCCGTTTCCACCTCAACCTACAATGTTTTTTTATCTTATTCCTTCGACGATGATTTTCTTGAACTCTGAAGATTAATACTTCAAGCTCACGTCCACGATGTTGTATCTACTTTAAGCACATAATTTGACTTCTTGAGAAAAGATGTCATGGTTAGGATTTTATCAGGGAGAAATTGGAGAATTTTGATTTTTACGAACTTTTACTATCTTGATTTATTATTAGGACCTCGTGTAAGGATGAACTATAGCAAGAATTATCATAAGAATCAATAGAAATCAAGATAAGAATAAACAGATCAAAAGTTAACACCCTTAAATCGTTTATATACCTAAAAATACTCAGATTTATAGTTGTCAGTAATAACGCTACTCACAGACATTAGCAAGCTCTCTACATAGTAATAATAATAGTAATATTAATAATAATAATAATAATAATAATAATAATAATAATAATAATAATAATAATAATAATAATAATAATAATAATAATAATAATAATAAAAATAATAATAATAATAATAATAATAATAATAATAATAATAATAATAATTTTCAAAGTACTGTATATGACCGCCCTGGAAGAGGACGTTGCCTTTCTGATCGTCACAAATTTCTCACTAGCACAAATCACGGTTACAGTCACAGCCAGCCTGGGGAGTAGAACCACTTAAAACATCCACTCCAGACGGTCTAACACAAGCGATATAGAGACACAATCATTGAAAATACTTCCCACCCTGGTGTCGTACTGGGAATCAGGAGCAACGTGATGAATCTTGAAATGGATTGCTTTGAGTTCAGGAGACAACCGTCAACCCTCTTGCTTCTAGGAATAGGTCTGGGTGACAGACAAGAGTACAAAAAGGCATATCCGCCGTGTCTGGCGTCTATTTACAGGTCTTTTGTTACGGGCAACAGTGTTAAAGCATTTCAGACAACAGACGATACGAACCAAACCTGACCTAACAACCCTGGAGTAGCCTTGGTTGGATGTTGTCGTCAAATATTAGAAATAGTTTAGCACCATAGAATTAGTTTATTTTCTCTGTAGTATATATTACGAGAGACCCTTATCGATATATTCAGAGGTCGAAGTGGTGATTCTATACCTTGAATATAGCAGTGTACTGGGCAGCGTCGGGGCTGAGGTAGAGAGATCTACTTCTCACCAGGGGCAGATCATCACTCACCACAGAGCCACTCCTTACCACCACCGGGCACCCTGCGATGCAACAAACTATCATTATGACTTTTTTTTTAACAGCAAACCTTATTCCATTGATTACATATTATTAAATACTGTATTACACACTATTTTACTAAACGGAATTTTATACAATACCTATTTGCTTCCTGAAATTATCGAGATATATGAATTAAACATTACAAACAATCTAAGGCTAATAAAACAGCTTGCGACAAATTTTATTGTTAATGTAAGCTTAAAGTATTACAATTAAGAGGTAAGGGTGTTGACCTGGCATACAGTTGTAAGTGATGGCGAGGCGGGAAGTGGAGGAGAGGCTCAGCTGGCACCTTGCTGTGTCCACCCCAAGCTGCATCTGGAACACAGCCTCCTCCCCACGCTCAGGGCTCATCACCATCACCCACCCACCGCTCACCATCACGCCCACATACTGCCACCTACCGGGGGTGTCGCGAAGGGGAATGTTGGCCCGTCCCATCTCCGAGCTGCCTGTATTGTGATGCTTCTTACTTACAAAAAGTGATATAGTTGTGAAGGGTGAAGTAAAATACCTGTAATATTAGTTAAGGTGACATAAGCTCGAATCCCTGAAAATGTTACGTTTTCTTCAGGATTTTCACTATAACTTTTTTAATGCGTAAAATGTAAATCGAGTGTGAAAAAAACTTTGACTTAGTTACATAGTGGCATGGGAGCCGTGGCCTTCACGTCCTCACCGCTTCGCCGAATTAGCAGTTAACAAAAACTATTGTGTATGTATATATATATATATATATATATGTGTGTGTGTGTGTGTGTGTGTGTATATATATGTATATGTATGCAAGTAAATCACTGTAGGTGCGCGTGAGTTAGGTATATGCTGATAACCACAAGGAAAGAAGAAAACACGAAGTTCCCAAGCGCTTTCGTGTAATTCACATCTTGCATGTACAGTATCAAGATATATATATATATATATATATATATATATATATATATATATATATATATATATATATATATATATATATATATGTGTGTGTGTGTATGTGTATATGTATGTATAAATAAATAAATAAACAAAATAATGATAAAAAAATAAATAAAAATAATAAATAATAAATAATAAAATAAATCAATATTGAAGTGATAACCGTGGTAACACTATGAGATGTGCTTATTACTACCATGCTATTGTACTATTCCAGATGATACTAAATGTTACATAATACTTCCTTGAGATAAATATATAGTATATATCAGGTGCCTCAAAGAGAGCTCAGGTTCTCAACTGGCTCAGCCATGTTAATATTGTTATTATTATCCTCTCTGTATCTGTGTTTTTCTTAGCTAAATAAACTGTTTCCATTCAATTCAATTCAATTCAATGCTGTATTAATTATTGTCATTTCCAATCGGGCGAATTATTAAGTACTACCAAACTTGGGTAGCCTATGCATAGCTGTTAGTAGTTTGTTCTTCCTCAGTGATAGTATTTGTCCATTCGTTGAAGAAGCTGAGGCCACTGACTTTGCTGGCATCGTTCTAATGGGAGGGGATTGTGGAGGTGGCCCCCTCTGTAGACATGCAACAGCCAGGTTCCGAATAAGCTTTCTCACTTAATTTCAGGTTTTAAAAAATATATGCCCGTTCCCCTCGTGGCCTTATTGCCACTCCCCCCCCTTGAAGCATCATGTTCTTAGCTTTCTCAGTGTTGAGTACATACTGTAACTACTGTATTATGTACTATATATCAAGTATATTATGCCTGATTTCGTGTTTACAATTTTCCTTCCAAATCAGCAGTTATTGGAGATAATAACAAAAGCGTGGGGAGAGCGATCCACCCTTGTTAGATGGATGTCAGCAATGAAGCAATATGAGGGTAGTTAACGCTATTATCCAAGCATACATACAAAAAATTACATACTTAGAGTACAGTAAGTAAAAATACATCAAATTTTAACACAGTTGCTGTACTCCACCTGACGCATCAGGAGTAACTTACGTGCACTCTCCTGCAATAGTCGCATCTCCCCTCGGTTGAACATTAACACGAAAGTTTTCCCCCCAGCCTCAAGGTACACCTCGAACTCGACACTCCCACCACTGCTTCTATTCGTTGTGACCACAAACCGAGAGTTTTTGCCACGGTGGTGGCCCTTGAAGATACCAATGGTGACGTGGTGGTTGAGGGTGATGGGTGGAGAGCGAGGCGCAGCATCATCACCGCCCACGTCATACACCAGACAATCTGCCATCATACACATGTGATATCAACACTGGAGGCTATAAAAGTATTGCAATTTTCGAGAGAAAGAAAGAAAATGACTACATCTGCATTCCTTAATAAGAAAGACACTGAAAATTTTCCTTAAATATGAGAATATGAGTTGTAAGTTTTTTTTTTTTTTTTTTTATTGAGGATTAGCCCACCAGGGCACAGGTCAATGACCCACATCAGGCCCTGGGGGAGAAAACATAAGAAGTACAATAATAATTATTAACAATTTATAAAAAAATATAAAAAGTCTTTAATCAAAATATAATAAAAAAATAAATAATAATAATAATAATAATAATAATAATAATAATAATAATAATAATAATAATAATAATAATAATAATAATAATAATAATAATAAAACCCCAACGGACAAAACCCCAGTCTCATATATAAAATATAAAATAAAACACTTTTATGTTTAGGTTAGGTTAGGTTAGGTTAGGTTAGGTTGGGTTAGGTTAGGTGAATAAAGGTTAGGTTAGGTTAGGTTAGATTAGTGTTGATAAATGACAATCCCGTTGGGTTTTGTCATGGAACCCAGGGTCAGTGACCTGTGCCCGGGTGGGCTAATCCCCGTAAAAAAAAAAAAAAATAAAGCTCAATAGTGAGAAATGATATACAGTATGTATGTTGTGTTGGCAAAGTTAGAGAAACAATTGAGACCCTGCAATTGTGTGTAAATAAGGCAGAAAGTCAGATCAGCAACTTGGTACTTGGTCACAATTTTTGTGATGCCATATGGCAGCAGGGTCTACCATTAGACAACACATTATGCTTCCAATATCTTCCCAGGCGGTAGTACCTCCCTGTTTGATAGCTGCCTACTACCTGGTGAAGTACATAAAGGCATCGATAATTTGTTCATTAAAAAATATTAAATGGTAAACATGATCAAAGTAATTATAAAATGTATAAACTAGTGCCCTTGTGTCTGCTTATAGTCACCATCTAACGTCTAAGGGACTATGGCATCTGATTGGCAGATTAACCAATAGAAGATGAAAGCACATTTCACAACAAACATAATATGAGGTAAAAAACCAGACAGAGTCTAACACATTCCACGAAAAGCAACATTTGGACATTTTCTACTGGTTTGGGGTCTGAGGTGCATATTTCTTACGTGTGCCAGTTCTCATCCCCCTGCACCGTTCCCCCACCCCCTTTGAAGGGGGAAGCTTATGAGTGGTAGGCCTGTCCGATATAACTCGTGTGTTTACCAAAGAATGTCGAATTTAATGTCAGGCGAAAGCCTATTTGCTCCACAACAATTGTAGAACATTATCACTTATGGTATAGTCACGTGTATGCCTCCATAAGAACATTCCCTCTAGGGGAAGGAGGAATGTCTAAAGCAGCGCAATAGAGGATGGACGAAATTGGTTCTATTTCAAACAGCCAACAGGATGCCGTAGATCGCTAATAACAGCGATGCTAATGCATTTGTGGCTGCCTTCATTTATTCTCACACGGGAAGATGGAAACAACGGAGTACCTTAGCTTTCGTCTTTATTCAAGACATCTTCAGAGGCAACATATATATATATATATATATATATATATATATATATATATATATATATATATATATATATATATATATATATATATATATATATATATATATATATCATGTAAATCCACAATGAAAACGTGGATAACATAAATCTTGTAAATCTTGATAAAATCACACAGGAAAAAGGGAAACAATGGAGCACCTTAGCTTTCGTTTTTATTGAAAACATTACGTCGCCCTTTCTTTTAAGCTCCTTTTGTGTGTGTGGTGGTGTTGGTGTGCGGATTAGTGGATGTCATGTTTATGACCTGACCTTATGTTTAGTAAGGTTACCCTGTGTACTTAAGCCTATTTCGGTCCTTATAATTCAGTTGTCTCTGAAGATGTCTTGAATAAAGACGAAAGCTAAGGTGCTCCATTGTTTCCCTTTATAATGATTGTTTATCAGACCACAACTTACAGCCAGAGAATTACAACACATATAACATTAAGTATAGGCCCACGTGGTAACCCACATACCAAGTCCACACACCCTACAATCCCAAGACATCTAACCCCAGTTACTAAGTACTTGAGTTAACCCTGCGATATGACCGTGTTAAGGAAACCACACCTAGCCAAGACACACCCGGGCATGATCACGCACCTGGGCATGATCACGCACCTGGGCAAACACAGCTGTCCAGATCTAACCAGTATAGTGTTAACTGGCAGAGGTCATTCGCCGGCTGGTACTCCTCGGGCAGTTGAAGAGTGAGCTTGACACTCTAAAGAGGGAAAATAAAACCCTCAGGACTGAACTCGTTCAGGTAGGTGTCCTGCCTAGCAGGACACCTGCGAAGGAGGAGCAGGAGTGGAGAGTGGTTGTCTCCAAGGGGACTAGGGTCAGACTCAGGAAAGCTGACCAGGGTGTGGAGTGTAGTAACCCCTACCAGGTGCTGGAGGAAGCTGGCGAGGAAGAGAAGAGGCAGGACGGTATGAAGCAAGGAGAGGAAAGAGCAGTTGTACAAACCCTGCCCACAGGTAAGGTCGTGGTAGTTGGGGACAGCCAGGTGAGGTTTTTAGATAGGACTTTTTGTGTAAGAGATAGGAAACGTAGGACTAGGGTGTGTTTTCCTGGGGCTGGGATAGGGCATGTAGCTGAGAGGATAGATAGGGTTTTGTCAAGGGAGGGTACCAATCCAGTAGTGTGGATTAGTGTAGGAGGAAACGACATAGGAAAGTTTAGGAGTAAGGAACTTTTCAAGAGGTATAGGAAGGCGCTGGGGAAGATTAGAGATAGGGGAGGGATCCTGATAGTATGTGGTGTCTTGCCTAGAAGAGGGGTTGGTCGTGAAAGGCTGTCCAGGGCAATTGCTATAAATTGCCGACTGAAAAAACATTGTGCAAACAATGGTTGGGCATTCATTGATAACTGGCAACGATTCTATGGCAACGACTACCTGTACAGTCGTGACGGAGTACACTTGTCTCGTGCGGGGGTAAAGGCGTTGTCTGCATCCCTGGAGCGTGAAAGTGTTACTCCAAAGGGGGGGTTTCGCCAGTAGAAAGAGGTCGGGGTAAGTGGGAGTCAAAAAACAAGCTGGTCCTGGGAAGTAAAATTGGTTACTCAGGACAAGGGGTAAAACATGACCAGGGAAGGGTAGGTTTAAATGATACTATACAAACAGTAGGAGCGTTAGAAATAAAATAGACTTGCTGAGAGCGGTTGTATGTACCGAGAATGTAGACGTCATAACAATCACCGAAACTTGGATGAATCTGGCGAGCAAAATTTTTTTATCAGAGTACCACATAGAAGGGTACAACCATTTTCACAAGGACAGGGAAGGTAGGAACGGGGGAGGGGTCGCACTCTCCGTCAAGGATACATTAAAATGTTGTATAAATAATTCAATAAAGGGTGAAATAGGAACCCAGTCTGTATGGGTAGAAATCACGGAAGGAAGAGAAAAACTAATTATGGGAGTGATTTACAGGCCCCCAAGTCTTGGGAAGGAAGTAGCTCCGCCCATATGGCAGGAAATGAGTACATAAGAACATAAGAACATAAGAATGGAGGAAACTGCAGCGGGCCTATTGGCCCATACTGGGCAGTCCCGTTTACACCCAACCCCTATTGCTCATATAAGCATCCAACCTATGTTTGAAGCTATTCAGCGTATTCGAGTTTTATGATGATATTTGGTAACTTGTTCCATTCATCCACCACTCTGTTTCCAAACCAGTGTTTACCTATTTCCCGCCTAAATCTAAATTTGTCTAATTTAAAACCATTGTTACGAGTTCGCTCCTGGTTGGATAGTTTGAGTACCTTTGTAATGTCCCCTTTGTTTAGCCCTGCCTTCCACTTGTACACCTCTATCAGGTCGCCCCTCGCTCTAAGTCTCTCGAGGGAGTGCAAATTAAGATGCTTTAACCTGTCTCTATACTCAAGGTTCCTATTGCCCGGGATTAGTCTTGTCATTCTCCTCTGAATTCTTTCCAAGGATTCTATATCCATTCTGTAATACGGTGACCAGAACTGATCTGCGTAATCCAGGTGTGGTCTCACAAGAGCAAGATACAGTTTTAGGATGACCTCGCTAGTCTTGTAACTAACACTCCTTTGTATGAACCTAAGTACTTTATTTGCCTTGTTACGAGCAAAAACACATTGTTTACTTGGCTTAAGGTTCCTACTTATCATTACTCCTAAATCTCTCTCGCAGTCGGATTTCTCTATGGCATCGTTGTTCATCTGGTATCTGGTTTCCCTGTTTACATCTCCTATACTGAGTACTTTACATTTGTCGACGTTGAATTTCATCTGCCATTTTTCAGACCATTCGAAAAATTTGTTTAGATCTTCCTGTAGTTTTGCTGAGTCCTCGTCAGATTTAATAACACGTCCTATTTTAGTGTCATCAGCAAATTTACTTATGTTGCTGTCTATGCCGATATCTATGTCGGTTATGTATATAATAAATAGTAATGGTCCAAGTACTGAGCCTTGGGGAACTCCACTTGTGACGTTACTCCAATGGGACTTAGTGCCGTTAATGCTCACTCGCTGTTTCCTGTCCTGTAACCACGCCCTAATCCATTTAAGGATGTTACCTTTGATGCCATGAGCTTCTACCTTTCTAATTAGTCTTTCGTGGGGGACTCTGTCGAAGGCTTTGCTAAAGTCGAGATATACCACATCATAATTGTGCCCCTCGTCCACCGATTCGAAAACTGATGAAAAGAATGTTAATAGATTAGTTAGACAAGAACGTCCGCTTGTGAAGCCATGCTGGGAATCATTGATCAATCGGTGCTTCTCCAGGTGATTTCGAATAGAGTTTGAAATGATTGCTTCTAGTAATTTGCCTACTATTGATGTTAGACTGATTGGGCGGTAGTTAGAGGATAGTGATCTATCCCCCTTCTTGAAAATCGGTATTACATTCGCTATCCTCCAGGATTC